AGCCGGCATCTTGAGGGGCCATGGGGCGATTGGCTCGGCTGGCACATCATTGCCCTTTGACTTGCCTTTAGACTTCCCTTTGGCAGAAGGGCGAGCTGGCTGACTTGGAACGACTTCCTGGACAAGGATTTCTACGAGCTCCCGATTGATCTCCAGTGTGAAGCGTGATGCTTTGGGAAGCTCCTGGGCCGTCACCACCCAAGTGTGCACTCCAGCTGCACGGTACGTTCTCATCGAAAGTCCACTCACTTCCAGAAGTGACTTGCGGGACACTGAAGGTGCTTTCAAGACACACTGGAGTTGGCACTCCTGCTTGGTTGCTCCCGGATGATGCGACGTGCGATATCCGTACAGGGTGATGGCCGCATTGGGATTCGGCAACGCCTCATTGACAGCTTGCTTGAACATGACAATTGGTGAGTCTTTGATCTTGTCAATGTCACTCTTGCTGGTCAAGCGTGAATCAAATTCTAAGACAACTTCAGCAACTGCAGGCGTGGTCATCTTAAAAGTTGCCTCCGGTAATTGGAATCTCACCTTCCCAGCAAAAACCATCATATGCACAAGACGCTTGTAGGAAATCTTTGCCGTGTTGTCATGGAGCGAAACTTCATAAGGCCCTTCCAGGCGGTTTGCCAATGAGCCAAACTGGGTGAGTCCGATGCAGGAATCAGAATCAGCGCAATCAAATTTGGAGCTGCTTGGACCTTTGAGATCTCTGGCAAGTGTGTCTTGGTCGCCAAGATGACCCCTCCTCGATTGGGAGCCAACTGCAGTGTTTGACCTAAGTGCTTGTCATGTTCGTCGACAAGGGAACGGGCTCTTTGGTGACGAGGTCTTCCCACTTGGGTTGGGCGAGGCGGGCGCTTAGCCCACGGATCATTGTGCAGCCATGGATCACTCGGTGCTTTACTGCTGGTGCTTCAAGCATTGCCACTTGGCGTAGCATCAGATGCCTTGACTTTGGTCTTGGGCTGAGCATCAGGCGGTGCCATGGCAACATCTTCAACGGCCCCACCAGCAATGTAATGGTCAGGGAATCGGCGCTCCAACACACGAATCAGGAACCAATCTCTGACATTGGCTGCGAAATCTCTTAGCTCTTCTTCTGCACCTGTATTGTGCCAAACCAATCTTGCCTCCTTTCGAATTTCCCCAATGTCATCTCCCAGTTGGTGTCTCCAGATCGTTTGGAGCTGCGGATCACGAAGGGGTGCGAAGTCCAAAGAGGCTTGAGAGGGGTAGGCAATGCCATTTCGGTCCCGCATGGCCTTTTGGCTATTTCGATTTCCATGCACACTGTTGGCCACACGGGTATTGACCCACTTAAAGTTGGTCGGCAGGCATGGCAATCACGTTTGTGTGCTCGAAATGCTGTCCTGTTTCAGCATGAGACTTTTGTCCATCTTATTCATGTTGATCATGTGGACCAATGGGTTTCAGTCAAGCCATTGCCGACCATGCATGGTTCCCATCATTTTGCAATTGTTGGGGCCTTTGGTCACCACAGTGTAAATGTGCATGTCCCTAAGGGTGCAACACGTGGCCAAGTCTTGCAATTGGTCTTTGACGGTCCGAAAGAGCTTATTGACCAGATTGCCTTTCGTACTCATGATGACAACCCAAACAGGCATTCGAGCACTTTGAACCTTGCTGATCCTGGCACCTGCTGGGAGTTTGTTGTGGCCGGAACCCCAATTGGATCGTGCAGTGTCTCCATCCCATCGCCAGCTGAGGTCATCGATGTTCTTGATGATGATGACTGCCCTGCTAACCAGCTCTTTAAAGTTGCTGAGGAGAGCCCATTCGATGACACATGCAAGCAACACTGGTTTCAACAAATTTTGTCACTCTGTGATCGGTTGTCAAGCAACTGCAGTGCACCACAGCGGATTGTATTCCTTCATTCTGCTGGCCAGTGTGACTTCCAGCTTGTTGGAGATGGAGGTGAGCTCAGACCAATTGCTGAAGACATTGCAAGTGCCTGGAATGGTCGAATTGTCGCTGCACCATGGGATTTCGTGCTCCATACACATTTGGTACTTGGAGAAGATCGATCGGTGCATGGAGAAGTGCGTGTTGCCTTGCACTTTGGCATTATTGACAGCTTCCAGCTTGTTCACCTGCTGTCAAATATTCCCTTGCACACCACCTTTTGGTGGAAGGGAAAACACTTCGTTATCAGCCTCCTCAATGGGAAGAACCCTGAGCAGCCAAAGATCCGCCTTACCACAGATGATGTTCTGCAATTACTGCCTGATGGCTATATCCGTGCTGGGGGACACCATGAGGCCCCAGGCCCGCGGCCCTCGCTCCCAGCGAGCGCCCCGTTCGTTGACAGAGCTGAATTTATGTGCAGTACGCAAGGCTGGGTAGCTAGTGACGAAATCGATATGTACACGCAGGAAATCCAGTGGAGCCAGATGTTCTACAAATTCACTCCTCCTATTTTTTGGGATCCAAATGAAGATGAGTTTGAGTTCCCCGAATCTGGTGAGATTCATATCTACAATGGCTGCACAACGGTTCTTACAATTCTCATCACCAATCACTGGAGTGCAGTTGAGATACATCGTGGAGAACATGGCACCCGTGTGGTCTTTGTGCAGGTTCCGCAAAGTGTGAGAATCAAGTTGACTTTCCTCTTTGCTAGACTTCTCGACATTGCGCCACATCGCTTCGAGGTCGCAGTTGATGGCGACAATGCGCCTCCGCATTTGTGTGGGTGGCTGTTACTGCATCGATGGGTTGCCCATTTCCATTTGCACAACAACTTGGCCAACCAGGTCAACCAGTCACCATTGCCTCCGCACGTCCTTGAGATCATTGATACATGCATCCAGAGCTCGATCGAAGATTGGCGCCGATGCAACATGCCACAGTTGAGAAGGAATTTCCTCTGGCATCGGGCGAGGCGCGAAGCAGCTGGACAACCTGTGCCTCAACCTCGGCTGACAGTTGCTATTCCTGCACCACAGCCGATTGCAAGACCTCCACCACAGGAGCCGCCGAACGCCATTACTGAGATCCTTGCGCGACTGCAGCACTTCCAGCGATACCCCGGATGGGCAGCAACCGATGAGGTTGACTTTACCTTGGATCTGTTGAGGGCGCATCATCCTGAGACGCTTTTCTGCCCGCCGGCCATGTGGGTGCCAACCAGGGCTGAACTCACCTACCTCAATGACTATGTCCCGGACATTCAGTCCTACAGCCACATCTTTTGGAGTATTGTGACGCTGAACCACTGGGTTCAAATTGAACTCTATGTCTCTCCCGAGAATGCAAGGTTCTATTTCACTGTTCCCAACTCCATCGGTCAGACACTGCTGCCTTTGCTCAACTACATCATTGGTATTGCACAGGTTGACCCTGATTTTGTCACTGTGGAAACTATTCATCAAGACACCCCACATGGACTTTGTGGGTATCACATGCTGCATCAGTTATTCCACCGGGTCAAAGAATTCAAACCCGCGACTGGTCTGATTGAGGAAGGTGAAGAGTCCACGATCTTGAACATGCACCTTGGAAAGGGTGTGTTGTGACGAGTACGAGGCACATAACGTGGGAAGGGCCTCATGTCCATTTGGAACCTTGCCCACAGGGTATGACAAGCCGTGGCATTATCTCCATCAGGTCTCTTTCGTTTGGCACCAGGGAACAGCTTGGGATCGGTGTAGATGGCTTTTTCAGACTCCGAAAGGACCAGTTGGTTGACCCAAACCTCCGGAATGCGAAAATGGTATGCAGGGTCATCCCATGGCGTTTTGGGCGAAGCTTTGAGTGCGAAGGTAAAACCAATGGCTTGAGCTTGAACATCAGCTCTGGCCCAAGTGCACAACCAACGTGAGCGGGCATGGTCGGCAAGTCCATGATACGGTGTGACCTGGGTCCACGTTCGCCGAAATCCAAGCGAGTGAAGGAGTGCCTCAAGAATCTTAAAGTGAGGGTGCTCCGTGATTTCATCACTGCACTCCGCTGCTATTGTGATTGGCTGTACAATGGTGGCCAACTCAATGGCATGAATGAATGCCCAACCATTGCTGTCTTGCAATCCCATACGCTTCCCAGCCTTAGACCAACGCTGGCACGGTGGTGACATCGTGCAGCAGAGGTTCGTTTGGATGCGGCGCATGTTCGTCAATGACCAATCACATACAGACGTGAGGATGCCAACCTTTTGAGCTGGAGACCACTGTGTGTTATATGCAACTGGTCCACGGAAATGCGCAATGCCAGCTTGGGCACTCCATATCTGCGTTACTGTTTCATCACTGTCGACTGAAATCTCCTGTCCCAGCGAAAAGACTTTGTCCGCATGATGCAGAAAGGAGGCTGCTTGACTCCAGCCTCCAAACGATCCACTGAAAAGGTGGAGGAAATTACATGGCATCGCATCACTTATCTCGGGCCGGAAAGTCACCACGACCTTGTGGTCAATCTCATAACGATGCTCATCCCAGGAAATAGGCTTCCCTGCACAAACAACTTGAACACCTGGTGCCGTGTGGATAGAGCGCTCACCCAATCCAGGAATTCTCACATGAACCATCTTTTCATCACTTGGCACTGCTTCAAACCCTCGTGCAGGTGTGAAGGGGAAGATGGCCAACACCAGATCTTCCTGCAGAACGGATACGATCTCTCCACTCAATACAATACGATCAGCCAGAACCAAATGAGGGCCTCAGTCGATGCATTGTGGAGCAGGGAGCGCGTGGTGGACCTCAAAGGATCATGTAGAATGCCGTCGGCAATGGCCAAAGCAGCTTCCATGGCAGGACACTTGAACTTAGTGCGGACCACCGAGTCACAAGCCACGTGAACAACGGGGATGGGTGTTCGCACCCACCTTATGGACACGGACCTGCGACTTGGGGCCGCGCAACTCGCCCTGGGCGACCGCACGCCCGAGCCTTCGGGCCTTTGAGCCCCGCAGCTCCTTACAATGCCTTACAAGAACTGAAACTTTAAACAGTGCTTGGCTGAAGCCACAGGCCTTCAAGCAATGAAGGTGCACGACGAGACTTTTGTTTGGGCCTGAGAAGGGATTGTGCTGCAATCCTTTACATGGGATTGGGATCGTTAAAAACTTTGCCATATTTCCTGTCTTTCCCCTGAAGTAGTTGCTCCCTTTTTTGTTTGTTTCCGCTTTCTATCTTTCTACGAGTGGCTTTGAATGCCGTCTGCTTTGCATCGGGTGATCGTCCTTCCAGGTCAGTGCCACCATCGACCATCTTCTCAAAGCTGTGGACGCCTGCAGCACAACAGAGGAAATCAGGGATCATCCTGTTGAAAGGCTGCTCCGAGCTCAGAATCTAGGCTGATCGAAGGGTTTTTGATATCCGTGATACTTACTGCAAGCATTTGTGGAACCAGTTGGGCTTGCACGATTGGTCAGGCACTTTTGGCTCTTGAGATATGCTGGCCATGAGACAGAGATGTGGTTCCAACTGCTTTGTGCCTTGATGGCAGTTGAGCCCCGAAAAGAGTTTTTTAAGGTGGATGAAAACTTCTTTATACACCATAAATTATCATAAATTGAAACCGAAAGGTTCTACAATCATGTATATATATAATATTATACATATACAATTTCCAAAGGACTTTGATTGAAACTTGAAACTTGTTTAGACTGATCGATACACATTGCCGAAAGAGTCTGCTGGTAGTCGCACCTTTGCGGCCTGGAGGCCGAACACTTCTCAGTCCGGACTGCATCACGGACTTCAAGCGCTTTAATCCTTTTCTCACCGAGGAAGCAGAGTTTTTTCTTTTTGATTTCGATAGTTCTGTTTAGACACCTTTTCTCCAAAGGCCGTTAAGAAGCGTAGTAGAGGTCAGCAGTAGGCCACCAAGAACGCTAGTTTTTGGACCCTGGGACGCACGAAAAGCTCAGGGTTCTTCAAGGAAGTTTACCCCGGCTAAGGAAAATTGAGAGGCAAATGCTAAAGGGAATGTGTTGACTAAAAAACACATTGCACATTAAATGACATTTGTGTGCTCATGACTGTGCCCCAAAAATTCAAAGCACCGCTGCACTTAGCTTCACTTTGCACTTCTGTTCACAGGAGGACGTCCACGAGCTTGATCCTGAGTCGTCACGAGCATGAACATATAACGAGCATGAATGAATGACAATGTGTGCGAGAGCGGAAGAGTTCTTGAAAAACAATCAGCCGCATTCTTAAAGCAGGGAAAACAAGAAGGTATGACTATAGGGTGTCGTTTACACTAGTCAGGATAATAAGTTAATAAGGGTCCTTTCAAGGGGCCATAGTAAACAGGTCCTTACCTTCATTTTTTTAATTTTACTGTGCTATCTAGGACGCAGGTAGTCCAAGACCTAAAGCCCTCCGCTTTGGATCTTTTCCTTAGGCTGCTGGCAGCCTTGTCGCAGATGATGCTGGCCACATCAAGACGGCAGCAGGTTTGCAGGGTGTCTTCCTAAGTTTGAGTCAGTAGTTGTGATTGTAGCTTTCACAGGCCAAAAACTTCTGTATATAGTCTTTGGCAAGTCCGTCGGTAGACAACTGTGCAGCTTCTGCTTAAACAAGGCCATGGACCACTGCCGAAACTTGCTGAATTTACTGGAACGTGACAACGCCCCCATCCTAGCACAAGCTGTTTGTGTTTTGCTTTTACAGCAACACACACACACATAGAAAAAAGCAACTGAGGCTTAACCATGAATATGTATTCATATACAGTGTATAAATACTCAATTCAACTCATGCCTGTCCGGAAGTTGCATATGTTCATCAAACTTTCGGCAGACGTGAATGAGCTTTCGCCCAGGCTTCAAGCTCTGCATTGGCCCTGAAAGCTGGACTTACTGAAAAGTCTGGGCCTTGGGATGTCTTGGTTGTTTCCGCTTTTGGATCAAGTCACGGATAGATACAACTGGCAGGAGCTCTTTATTGTCGAGCACAATCGCTGCAGAACGTGATGTTCCCAAGCCACTGAAAGTGAGCACCTTGCTTTATACCACTGATGACTCATGACCCATTCCAGGCATCTACATCTCAGATGTGAATGGAGAGAGAGGTTCGGACACACACACACACAAAAGAGCACGCCCGATTTCTCCTTTGAGGGCATGCATTTCCAGACTCTACTGTAGCCAGGCTTCGACCCACGGTTCCTTCTTTTCGAGTTCATCTCTGGCTTTCTCCTGCGACCCAGACAGGTACATTGATTACTCTACCGATCTTTAACCACTGTAACCACTTTATCATCCTCTTCTATATTTAATTTATCACAGCAATCGAACTCTTCTATGTATATATGAGATTTCACAGGTAGAAATGGTTCGAGAGTTCCTTGACATCATCCACTCAGACAGCAGTGCTGTGGCCCGGCTGAAAGCTTGCTCCCGTGCATTTGGACCAGAGAGTCAGGAATCATCAGCTGTTGGTGTTAGCTAAGGTAAAGCAAATGATCATGGGTTATGGCCTTATGCTGTGAGGGAGACATGTTTCCAGAGCTGGGCTTGTCACCAAAGTGTGCCTGGTGAACTCTGAAGTTTAGAAGTACCAGGTCAGGGAAAGACCACTGTGGTTACGCCCCTTCTCTCCTTTGTACTCGCTGATGCAAAGCGGCTGGTTGTGATCGCCTGTTGCTCAGAGTTTGCAGCGTTCCACTTTGCGGCACAGTGCTCTGCTGTGGAGGTGGTGCCACACGCTCTACTTGAGTTCTCGAGATCCGTACTCCAGGGTACTTTTGCATCAGTGGTGCAGAAGCAGGCTGCACGGCAACTTAAATTTCTCCAGCAGGATCCAGCAGGAAGTTTCGGTTTTGTTGAACATGCAGGTGTCGACCTTCAAATGCGATCGTGCTGTGGACATCGACTTCAACTTTTCGCTTACCGTTGACTCAGCAGCTTGGGCTAACTTCAAAGCGTGCGACAGCACTGCTTCAGCCGCCCCGTGACACATGTTCGACGTTTTTTCCCCACATCTTAGTGTGGGGTTCTTCTTTTCTATGTCTCATCCCGCTTCTTCCGCTTCACTTCTTCCGCGCCTCCTGCTACGCGTTCTTCCACATACACAGAGATCACACACAGAGACCACACACACAGAGATCACAACACAGAGATCACACACACAGAGATCACACACACCGAGACTCACACACACCGAGACAACACATACCGAGACAACACACACAGAGATC